TTTGTCTCAGGCAAATAAAAAAAAACACTTTCCGAGTTTCGTGCCACGTGTTGAGTGTAATATAGTTTCACCTGACTTAATGAAAACCTGACACTTGTATTGTCCACATATTGCAATCAGCAGAATCAGTGCATTTAGCTGTGTGTAGGAAATCACAAAGGTGTGGTTGTTTGGGAGCAGATGTACTGAAGCTTGGGTGATGGATGATAACATCAACAGTTGACAGATTTCCCCATGTGTTGAAACAACGTGCTGTGTGTACATTTACAGGTGTAGACAGTCCCAAGTATGTCACATGTGATAGCTCTAGCGACCTGCCACCTCAACAGTGGCCACCCGCCATATGTTCTTGTCGCTCATTGCAGGTGTTAAAAGCAGTAGACCGCTGATGTAGGCTACGCCGCGGTGATAAATGCCATGTCTACCTGAAGGCTCCTATATGCAAGTTATGTATGACCTGACGTGGATGATCTATCTCCCAGTTCATATATACTACTCGCGTCGTGTGATGAATGTCCTTGTCTTCAAGTCCTACATAGCGTTACGAGACTTGCTACGACAGCCAGGCGTCAACTTGTCACCGCGATCTCCTGAGAAATGTCAATCACACACCTATCCATACAGGCTGAACAGCCTGTCAAACTTGCGACAGTGGGAAATAGACAAGTTGAAGCAGGTGACTCGAGCGTACATACTCTCTGTCCCGTGTTACCCGTGCAAGCACCATCCCTAACTGGTACAGTGTTGTATCTGTGGAGGGTTCTGTCCCCGCTTGTCACGAAGTTTGTAGCCCACACTGCTTCAGTCATTTGTAGATCAGCTGAGAGGTGGCAATCGACAGTCTAGCGTTATAGCGTGCTTGTCAAACAGGTTGGTTGCTATCAGGTCCCATGAGGAGGTGAAATATGTGTGTGTTTGAGTCGAATATGACCCCAGGTCGACATCTCCCTCCTCAACTAAGTCTAAAGGCTGTCACTCGCTTTCACCACTATCCCTTTGATCTTTCGCGCCCCTGTGGAAATCAAATGAGTCAAAATTTGAGTAACGACGCCACTGCTATTTTGTTATTGTGTCAAATTCTTACTTTATTTGTTTATGTCTGTCGCGCCCGGGCCTTCTATTTGGCAGTTGGTGGCGATGGTGCGTCCCTTGAGAGAGAGACGCGATGTAATTGTATTGCCCATGTCCACTGCGTTCTCGTAACGCTGTCAACTAACCAGTTCACGCTCACCAAAGGCGCCCCTGTCAAATGACACTAGAAAAAGCTTCGGAAGTTTGCACGAGTTTGTTAGATCCTGTGACTAAATGGGGAAAGGTTGCGGGGGTTTTGTAGTGCCCAGAAAGTGCTTTTGGAGAAATTTAACGGCTCTCGGTAAACTTTGAACGCAGAGCGTCATGATAATTATCAGGGTGAAGAGAGAAGACGCTGCTTTCAGCGGTGTAAATTTCATGTAAACACTGCGACCGCACACACTCACTGAAGCCTCGCAGCCTTCCTCGCTATAGTCAGATTACGCTGTCAATCATCCAGCTGTCAAATTGAGTTTGATTGACACATACCGCAGTTCCTTTGATCTCTTTCAGCGGCTGCAATGTGTCAGCGCGATGAAAGCATGTGGACGAGAAAGGCGGGACGACAAATACGGGCCATATTTGCTGTACCGGTAGCGCGAAGCGCTAATGCACCGTACTCATGCCTTAGATTTACCTGGTATTAAATACACGCCTTAAACGAAGGTGTAAAAACCCGGGCTGGCGCGTCGCGGGAACACGTTTGATAAAAACCAGTTAACTCTAACCAGCGAAAAACCACAGTATTAATGTATGCTTTTAACTCCAACATGTTTTAAATCGTGCGATAATTGAAGGACAATCCCCACCAGCCTTAGGTACTTTCAGTCAGGCGTTTGTCACCGCGCCAACAACGACTGTAAACTAGGCTTGATTCCCGTGGAGGTAGGGGCTTCCTATTTCGCTCGGACGCATTAGGAAGGTATTGTAAGGTACCCTATCGCCCGGGGGCTGGGACACTTACACACCTCACCCTCCACGGGAGACCGGAGTGGGGTGGTCTCATGTCTTTGTGGGAAACATCCAGACGAAGTGTTCAAATCTTGTCGATGGTGTGCCCTGAGGCAGGTAAATACTCGTAAGAGTTCGAAAGAAAAGCGCCAGTGATCAAAAGTGTGCTATTTATTAAATGGAAATTGACGTCCCTTGAGCGGTATGTAAATTGGAACAACCTTGCGTTAGTTTGTTTAATTTGGTAATTACCTGTCGGTGTGTGAGTGACAGTAGAGCGAGAGGTATTTGAATGACGGATCTGAGAGCAGCGACACCTGGGTCAATAACCCGTAAACTGCAAGGTGATTAGGTAGTCAACACAAACACACACAGTCTACATACAAACTCTACTTCGAATAATTACATGTACCAATACGTCACCTTTAGTTGTCACTTTGAGAAAATATATAATTAATTAGACACGGTTATGCCTCGTGTTTAAAATGTAACATATTTAAGGGTAAAATTAAAATTCAGGTTTATTCCAACATCCATACTCAAGATTTGAATTAATCTTCTGCTCAATATTCATGCAAACTTCACTTCCTGCTCGACGGTTTTATGCCTTTATCAGACTAGAATTTCGTCCAAGAAACAAGTTGTCTTGTTATTTATTTCAACTAAAATCCCCGATGAACCCAATATTCATTCTCTCTCTCTCTCTCTCTCTCTCTCTCTCTCTCTCTCTCTCTCTCTCTCTCTCTCTCTCTCTCTCGTATATATTTATATATTTAGCGTCATATCATTATAAACATATGATATATAGCTCGATATCTATTTTTACTGAAGTTGTTTTCCTCTGGAGTAATGAAGTATTTTCCACAGGGTACAAACAAAATACATACACACAGCATTTTCCTAGTACCCAGGTTCATGAATTTTTCTACGCAAGTAAAGCTCAGGGGAACGCATGCATACTTTATGACATATAATTCCTTATTTATGTATTTCTTTATTTAGTTATTCCCAAAGCTTTGTTTCTTAATTTATTTATGATGTATCGAAACACATGCCTCAAGATCGTTGCTGGGAGAACTTCAGCTGCTCTTGAAACACCTCACTTCGCACCAAGAATGTCATATCGACAGTCACTTGTAAACCGAGATGCTTCGTCGTTGAAATTTTCCATTGTAAGTTAAATTTTTAATTTTAAACGAAATATGATATTGTGTGAAATTATTCCGCTTGTAATACTTGTAATACTTGACGTTGTGGAGATTCTTCACGTGGCAGTTCTGAACCGGGTAGCATTCTGGTACCGAGACACAGTATACCCCGCCAGTCTCACAAATGAGACGTGTGGGAGTTTAGGGATACCCCTACTGTTGAACAGCGTTCTTGTCGCTGATCTATCAGATCTTGACGTTGCCTCTTTGTAGCTGTTTCCCCTTGACATGCTGTCCCAAGACGTGTTCGGGAGTGCCATATACAACGGCGGGATAGGGTCCGGGAAACAAGATCTGTCCATACATAATCTATCTTCTACCCCGCTCATTAATAAATTAAATGTGACAGTTTTCCTGTTATGCTAAAGGGTGATTTTCCCGAGATGAGACAAGCTGTCAAATTGGATGAGTGCCCGTGTTTCTCCCCTGTCCCCCCGGGCCGCTCATTCAGTCAAACCTGTCCCTGGCTGGCGGGAGGGGGCGGGTGTCTGACAGCTACCTGTCTACGTGATGGATTGTCCCTACATTCTACCCATGCAACCAGCGACCTCACCAACAACATATCTCGATCTCTGAAAAAAATCAAATGCACCTCATATGGGCCGACTTGTCCCTCTAGCTGAGAGGCGACCATCACGTGATCAACGACCCAACATCGCGGCATTCGTTGAACAGGCGAAGTTACCTGAGGAGGAAAGCGGACACCAGAAGGCGCTATATGGGATCTGTAGTGGCCCAAGCTTCGCAGTTGTCAGGTGTTTCTGTGGGACCTCGCACCCTTGTCGTAAGTCCAGCGGGGCTCCCAGAAAAACAAACCTTGAACCTCTCAGGTGTTCCATGACGCTGTCCCTTCCCCTCCCTTCCCCCACCCAAAGGTCTGCTTCTGGCCCCCTCCCCAGGTGTGCTGTGTTCCCAGGGGTCTCATTATGCTGGAGTGTTACGCAGTACTTAAGACCCGATCACCGATAAGTACGCAACAAATATCTATTTAGCGTCATTTTGATCGTAGAATGTTTTGAATGCGAGGTATCCCCGTTCACGGTCCGCCATATGATTAGGTTACAGTTCATGTTTGGGTTGGACGATAAGTATCTCACGAGATCGCTTTGAAGTCGCCGCCTAATTGTCAGATCTGTCACCAGTGAGATGTCGACTCTTTCACCGCTCGGGTCTCAATCTGTTTTCAAACACCCCTACTTGTACCAGATTGATTGATAAGCTCTTCAATACCTCAGCGCGGCTTTTGATGTGCCTGCCCAACTCTTAGGACGCCATTAGGATCGTGGGGCATTCCTTTCTTGCCTCGAAGACTAAGAATTCCCTCCCTCTCCTCCACCGAAGCAGTAACGCCGCATCCCCTGCCTCGCTCGCTGTTCCCCCCGCATCCAGAGGCCCGCTGTACCCACAACGCATGGTAAATAAGCCGGGCCGAACCGCTACCACAACCCTTTAGACGCTTTTCATCTTTTATTTGGCTCTTTACAAAGTATACATTAACAGCGCGCGGTGACATAAATCAAGCTTGATTGACGGACAGGCCATCAAAATGATTGATTGTTGGGGCATGAGGTGACGTCTGGCTAGCTGCCAAGTAATTATGAAGGCGCTCGTTGATTGGCTGAACGCTCACGCCGAGCTATTCATCACTCGAAGCATTTATCAAACCCGACGTCATGTCGACCCGCTCGTCCAATCACAGCATGGGATCAGCCCTTATTTACGATTTCATTGGCAGGCGGCAAAGCCGTTTCATCTTGAAGTAATTCACAAGTGTTGTCTGCTCGTGTTCAGTGTGTTGTCTTGTTGGGCGGCATGTTTCAATAAAACTTGTGCGGTTCGGTTAACGGGGTTCAGTGCCTGATTGACATTCGGCGAGAGGAGACGGCGGCCCAAGCCACAGTTGAATATAGCAGGATAACGGAGTATCACGACGTCCACGAGATCAGGAGGTGTGTGTGCGCGCCTCAAGATACCACAGCCAGTGAATACTTGTGTCGAGTACCGTGTTGTGCTACAAATGTACTCATAGTGTGTTGATGGGATTTTACTAAACGTTTTGGATTATTTTAATACGACATCATGTTGACGTCAAGCGCATCTCAATACCTCCACCCGGACTACTTGCAGCCCCTTCCCACAACTGTAAGTATTTGGTTCTTGTAGAATACTACACATTATCACAGGTTTAGTGTTAAATATCTTGAAAAACATTACGTACAACCAGCGCAGCTATTTTCACATTCTCCGGGTCTCGCGTTTTTAGAGTGATGAGGAAAAAATAATATACCTACCGTATTCTTTCAATATATTCATATTCAATCAAGTCGGTCGTATTTCTTATGCTATTTTCTATGATCAAAGTGAACTAAACACGTGTTTTAACATGTTAAATCGTTAAAAACCGCACAAAAGAACAGCGACGAGTCGCACCCTCGAGTAGCACTGCCCCTTTAAGTGACTCCACTACTGATGCCGGGGTCGGCGTTGTTCGCTCACCGCGTTGAGTAGTGATAGCTTTCTATAGTGTGGTGCTGCTGGCCGACTGGCGTTCGGGTCGATAGAGGAAGCGTCCCTCGCTCACCCTCAATGAGCCTCTCTCAGGCTTAGACACAAACAAATATGCTGAACAAATTAGATATTTTCCTTACATTTTTGATTGAGATTATATTTCAATAAAGCATTTTGGGCTTTTTTCGGTCGTCTCGTGATCTTATGGGTGACCTGCTTCGTGTTTTCCGCAACCTATAAAACACATTGCTTTAGCGTTACATCAGCTTGAAAGATAGACTTTAAAAAGTCGGGTGCAGTTCTGAAAGATTTTCATTTATTTCGGCTGATCTTTCAGATATTTTTTGTTTGTGAGAATTTATTGAAATTAATCAGCACTACAATGTTATCTTTAAAGGTTACAAGAAGCCGCAATTTACTTCAGTAAAATGACTGTATAACTTTTTATCACTCAAGTTTTCTGGAGATTTTGAAAACGCTGGATTCGGAACTGAACTATTTTCTGTTTCCTTGTATTTCGGCGTTCTAATATGTTATATGTCAGTAAGGAAATTATCCTTTTTATCATCTCGCAGAAACGTATTTTTCTCGTAAATTAGTCTATTGACAAGTCAGTTTCCAAGCTATTTAAAATAAAATAAAATGATGTGTCGGTAAAGAGGCAAACATATCAAGATAGAAGATATTTTTAAAAAGGTATTGAGACATAAGTGTAACCGAAAAATTAAAAATATGCACTTAATATAGCAGATTTTCAAGGAGTGTTTTATAACATGACTTTTAGAAAATCACCGTCGTGTAAAACAGTATAATTATTTTGAATTTAAAGTAGCTCTTACCTATTGTCAACTCAGGTAGCGAAAAACAGTAAAGCTTACTATCATATGTAAACAAAATGACGGACATGTCGATTTCATTAGAGGGGCGAGATGAGTCCTAGTAGTAATGATTAGTGGATGGTGTTGTGTGTCACACCGGCATCAGTAACGGCCGTAGACAGGGAATCAATCAGCCCGCAACAACATTGATCACCTCCCGGCTTCGTTATTGTCTACATCATCGACTACACCGCCATCATCGACTACACCGACATTAACTGTTCTTCCATTGTTTTGTCATTTGTTTCCTGACGTTTGTCGTGTAATAAAGTGCGGGTTATTTTGTCAACATTATTGATGTCAATATCGTTGATTGACAAGTCACTACATACATCTAAGCAAGGCGAGTAATTTACACATGTAGACTGTTATTTTAGATTGTCCGTGTATATTAACGAGGACATTTGATTGACAAGGTGTTGCCAGTAGCGACATCAATGCAATATCATCAATTTCCAGTAGCCCACAGAAACTTAATGAATGTAACAGTTGTGATAAATGATGGTGCGTTGTTCCACCGAGGCTTTGTTAATTTTACCATTTCAACGTCTCATGCAGTGTTTTTATTTTAAATTATGATTGAAATAAAAAATAAATTCATCAGTGTCTACAACAGGAAATATTTCCGTTGCTTTCAACTAAAATGTCGTTTTCAATTTATGATTCTGCGAGTTGTCAAAATTTTGAAAAAATAATCACTAGATTATCAACAGCGTCTCGGTGGTTTGACTGATACATTGTGTTTATTGTTATTGTAAAATCTTGTAATAATTCTTCAGGCTTTTAAGAAACTTAGATTGCATCTGGAGAAAATATGAAAACAAATGAATGAATTGTTAAATCGCCCTTTTTGTGTATTTCAGCTTGATGCCAAGAAGAGTCCACTGGCGTTGTTGGCCCAAACGTGCTCGAGTATTGGGAAAGATACGACCCCGTCCAAGCCAATTATCCCTCCTTTTGAGAAGAAGGAAACAGACAAAACCTCGGATAAGTCCGACAACAAGAGACCCTCTTCTTCTGATGAAAAGAAGGACTCCGGTCGGGATTCCAAGCCAGGCTTCAGGACCGTGCCTCCTAAAGAAATTCCACCCCTTGTGCCAATTTCCAGCGGATGTGAAAAGAATAATTCTGGTAATTCTGAGAGCGGCAAATTCAACTCGGAGAACACTTCAGTGAGCAATGCCATCACAAGACCTGTGTCATCAACAGGTTCCAACTCTAGTGGACATGGTTCAGCTAGAGGCAGTGAGAAGGGCGACCACCACGAACACCACTCCCCTCACTCCTCGTCTCCTCACCATATCAAGTCCAGCAGTGCTCACACCACACCCATCCTCCCTACCCCAACCAGCCTAGGGGGCATGAAGAATGTTGTGAGCCACCCATCTCTCTTGGGGGGCCTACAGACAGCACCCCACCTCGCTTATTCAGCTCTACCACTCATCGGGCACCATGGTCTACCTGTAGAAGTGACCACCACCAACCCAGCCTACCACACATCTTCTCTGGTTGCCCACGCCAGCCTCTCAGCTGCTGCAGCTGCGGCTCAGAGCTCTGCCCTGAAGGCGAGTGCTGCTGCCTCCTCGGCCCTGTCCCCTTATGTTGCTTATGCAAGAGTAAGGACACCGTCAGGAGCGACTACCCTAGTGCCCGTGTGTAGGGATCCTTACTGTACAAACTGTCAGCTGACTCTCCAGAACTCTCATCTCTCCTCCACGTGTACAGCTCCAGGGTGCTCACAGTGTGCTCATGAGAAATCTCTTACCAGCCTCACCAGCGGGCTGGGTCTCCCCGGGGCCTCCCTCCCCATGCTACCCTCTCTGTCGTCGGCTGGGTCCCTAGTCAGCAGTTCGTCAGGCCTGTCCTCCTTCCATTCACTGTACCACCCTAGTGCTCTGACAACACAAGGACTTCCATACATTTGTAACTGGGTTGCTGGCAGTGAATATTGCGGTAAACGTTTCACAACCTCAGAGGAATTATTACAACATTTGAGAACACATACCTCCACTATGGACGCTTCAAGCCTAGCAGCAAGTTATGGACTGGGGCTGCCCTCTCCCCTATCATGCCATGGACACTATCCAACTCCAGCACCCCTCAGTCCAAACTCACTCAGAAGGGCCTATCCTACAAGCCTGAGCCCGTGTCCACCCTACTAGGGGCCAACAGATACCATCCCTACAAGTCCCCCCTGGGAAGTGTTCCCGCCGCCCCCTCCCAGGCGTTCCCCACCTTCTCCCCCTACTACTCCCCCTACGCTCTGTATGGTCAGAGACTGGGGGCAGCTGCTGTCCCATGACTAGACGGGGCGGGGTATCTGGCCCCACCCAAGTAGACTGTCCCACCGAACTAACTGCCACAGCCCCCACTCCCGGGTGGGTAGGTGTGATACTATCTCCTACAAGCAACGACGTGTGATTTAAAATGTGCACTGAGGATTTAGAGAGTGTCTGACTAGTTGTGACTTTGCACTGTGTGTGTGACTGAGTGAGTGAGTGACGGGACCATCGTCACTGTTGTCACGGCGACTTCACCAAGGCTGAGACCCCATAGCGACCTCTGCTCAATGTGTGATGTGATGTGGTGCCCCAGTAGGAACCATGAACAATGTTCTCGCTGATCTCCACGCTCCTCTCCAGCAATCCCTAGTGTGAGGACTGTGTATCCAATGTTGATCATGCCATGTGGAAACATACTTATTTATGGACATTTGAGAGCAACATGAGTGCTACCGTTTAAGACCAAAATATTAATTATTAAATCATTTCATCTTTTCTTGTCTACGATTATTTTCATTCTCTACCGTGTGACTCTAGCACCCCTCCCCACCCTCGGCACCCCAACCACCCCTCTATCCGTATGGTGTAGACCTCTCTGTTTGACAGGATGGGTGCTGATATAAGATTATGCTATGTATATATAAGAAGAAAGATTTGTATATGTCAGAAAGGTGTTGTTTATTATTAAATTTTATATGCATCGGATGCATTCACTTTATAATCTTGTTTGTCTTTCATTACAAACTTCAACTCCAAGAACGGAATGAGGTCCATTGTTCACGTTCCTACATGGTTTTTTGCAGTATGCTTCTAATAGAGGCCACTGTATAATCGTTTTTACCAAGTTTAATGTCCATTAACTCTTTTAATTGTCAAGTTTATACAAGAAAAACTGACAAAAATGAGGCATTTAAAAATAATATTGCCATTTTATTAACGCAACTGAAAACACTGGGAGTGGTATCTGCTCTATCGGCTGCCTTGCTGGTGACTGAGGAATGTTTCAGTAAGCCGGAATTGGTTCTCCTTTGATGAGTCCACAAACGCACACCTTTACAACACAACTGCACCACGGGGGATTTCATGCCTTGTACTTTTCTCGTTCAAAATGTGTGGCAATTAACGGCAGGTAGAGCCTGACATTAAAGTTCGGATATGATTAGGCCTGTGCACATGCATGTTGGCTGCCATGCATGTACACGCGTTGATTAATCCATTGCTCCGTACCTGGATTCACCTGAATATAAACCTCACATTTTTACGTGTATACGTGCATAGGCGGATCCAGGTGGTGCGCACCCCATCCCCACCCCCTTTGTGCTGAAAGTTTGTTAAATGACCATTGAAACTCGGGTGAAAATGAAGTGTGCACTCCTCCTTTTCACAATAGTGTGCACACACACACACCCCTTTTTCTAAAAAAGCTGTATCCGCCCCAGACGTGTATTTGAGTTATTATACATATATGTACGTATATTATATTACTATACACGTATATGGGTCTAGTGTACATGTATGCATACAAATAAGATTTATAGTAGTCGTGAATGCCTTTGAGTAGGTTTATTTGGGTGTCTTGTACATAAATCCGGGGTAACGACTAATAGTACCTTGGCAGATACTACATACCAGGCAACAGAATGTAAGCTGGAGATGACATACTCCATACATTACACTCCACAACATGGCGTGTGTCTCACAGGCTTCCTATACCCTGGAAACGGGAACAGAAGGACAAACCATATCGTGACTGCAAAATTCGATTATTTTAAATCTCCATAACCCAAACAATCGTGCAATCACATACATGTTGGCTGATTTGAAACAAATATGTTCCCATAACATGTTCTATTCATGGCAATGTTGTTATCACTTGATCTGAAGGTCATATCTTGCTGACATCCTCTAAGAATGTTTAATAGTTCAATATATTTGTGTGAATTAAGGTTATAGGATTCTTGAGCCAACGCAATACAATTTGTAAAATAACTGGCATGATTGATTCTGTTCGTGAAAAAATACCCCGTGTGGAGGCTGTGGAGTGTTTCTTCAATCGTTTATATTGATCCCTTCCAATGACCGAGACCACGTAATACTATATTTCTTGGGGAACCCATCAACAAAATACTACCGACAAATAATGAAATGCATTTCAGTGCTATCAAAGGAATTAACATGAAGGATCTTTTCTCTAAAAAGTGAACAATATGTTTTCATCGATGATTAGGTACAAATGTTAGTTTCACTGCTTACTTCCACCTTAGCCGTCGTCTCCCGGCCCGACTATTTTCCTGAAAACTACTTGCAAGCTGTGAGATTGACAGCGAGCATGTGGCGAAACTGTCAGCTTTCGACAGATAGTTGTGTCCACACGACTGGCTGTAATCAGTTCCGGCGCGAGTACGTCGTATTTGGCGACGTGTTCCTCAGCGACAGACAAACACAACGCTGACAGTCGTCAAAATTGATAGTGTACATTAACACCACTTTACACTCGCGATAAATCCAAGAGAGAGAAATTTTACAGCCAATATTATCCAATGCTCCACGAACCAAGTGAACCCATAAGAGTTATTAGCCGAAGATAGTGTTGGCTTTCACTTCAAGATTTCCACTTCACTTGTAAAATCAATTACAATAGTTGTTTAGCAATTGAAAAAATCATAAACACGGCTGAAATTGTGGGAAAGACGTGTCCTTTTAAGTTTCAATTCATAATTTATTGAAATAACCGATTCCCATGTGAGAACAGAGATCCGAGGCAAATATACACCACCAGTAGACATAAAGTAGATAATTTTATTTCAATTTTATACATTATAATAGCAGTCACAGACATTTATGTTTCATATTTTATGTCATTTAACAAATTCACTACCGATAAATTTTGTCGATAAAATTAATTTGCACCTACACATTTTCCTCACAATAACAAAGCAAAATACCTTATAAACCAAGATAAATTATTAATGAAATGATTTGTAAAAGTTCATAATTGTACCGTTATTGCTGTCCAGGCTTATTACCGCCTTCATCACTTGATCTACATCACAATAGCAGTTACATGCTTTCAACACGGGGAAATAAAACCAAGCAAAACAATCTATTTCACCATCTTATTTGTGAATAAAACGATGATAACAGCATGCATGTGAAGAAGTATTTCCATTACAGACCATTATTATTGTCAGTAAATTAATTGAATATTACAGTTACACCGATTGTAATCAGCTGCCAGACCTGCATGAGATCTCGATAAGAGACAAACACGGTATATGAACGAACGTCCCTGTGCTAGACTCGCTGTGAATGCATTACAAAGGGACAGGATGTGGGAATGATCTAGAGATACCCACTGTAGACATCAAAAGAAGACCGTCGACAGATGGCTTCAATTAAACAGGGAATAATTTGCTTTGGAGTTAGCTGCTGAGCTTTGTAGGTTCCAAGTGGATTTGATGAACACAGTTACCTTTCTACCTTCCGTTTGGTTGGTTTGTGGGTGGCAAAATTAAAGTTTAATTTTAGAAATAAAATGAGGGCAGTGTTTATTTATATTGTAGCGCATAGAGGGATTTCATGCTTGTGCCTAGAATACGTCGCCATTGAACGTAGGACTAGCGGTGTGGAGTTCTATCTGGCTATACATGTATGTATATTTCATGAGCATGATGCATATTTGTTAGATGATCTAACACGTGCTAGTAATGTGCATTCAGGTGGTGAGACAATGAGATAACACATAGATATGTATGTTGTGCTGAGAAGGATATTTATATTATCATCTATAATGACAACGGTGAATTGTTGATATATCAACTGATATCTGCATTGGGACAGTGTTGAAACGGTCCTTATCGGTATCAGTCGACGTCGAGTTAGGCCTGGTCCCTAGAAACGTGTCATGGTCGTAGATTGGTTGTTCACATACTTGGTGACTACGTCGATCATGTGACATCGATGACGTGGGACGTTGCTCATGCCTTCAATCACGGGAATGTCCAGTCGATTGTCTACAGAAGCGGTCACCAAGCGGGTATCAAACACGGAACATTAGCTAGCCAGTTGTAAGTACAGTGTCCACACCTGGTGTCAAATTGAGAATACACCTGCCTTGCCTGTATTATTTTCAGTGTTCTTTATATTAAGTTTATATCTCATTCTACTGAATATTTTGTATATTTTGCTATATCTGTTATTTTTAATTCGTTGTTTGAACTTGTAGCGGAATATGAATATATTGTATTCAATACTGAATTGTCCCCCAAATATAAATAAAATAATGACATAGATCATGTGTATTATATTGTTTTAACACAGAATCTATCCATCAAATTAAGTACGCACTTTTGAAAATTGGATTGAAGCAAATCTACAAAAAGTATCAAAACAGCCGTCGAAATAGTGCAAACTTTAATTCTAATCCAGGATAACATTGTCTAACACATAGCCACTGTATAACCGTTTCATGTTTGTTTCTAGTAAACCTCAAACATACGTATATTTGTACTTTGTTTCTTGACAGTTTAGACGTTATCAGTGATAAAAACAAGATAGCAACGCACGAAACACTATGAACATTCGACCCAACCTGTTAACGTAATCTGTGTATACCTGGGCATGTATGACGCGTGTATCAAATGTATACGTTTTAACACACCCTGAAGGACCGATACTAGTTTTGATCATCTTTGTTCTTCCGGAATACATACTGAACCAAATATTGCTATTAGAAAATATGTACACTTCTAATCCCAGTTAGTTCATCCCGCCGTCACCCTAACACTTACGTTATACATTTAACACTTGGTTTATTGTCGATAGTGTGTATACGGGGCTTGATAATGGTGGTAAGACTGGACCATCCGTGCGTATGATAACAATATAATCTTGAACATATCAGTGCGCTGGTTTGTCGAGGGCACATGTTGTTAATATTACTGGTGATTCGTTCACATACACACGGAATGAGTAAATACACACACACACACACACACACACACACACACACACACACACACACACACACACACACACACACACACACATACACACACCCATTTAATGAGAGAGATCCCTTCCCTACGAGTATTAATATTACGAACGTGGTTGGTTGTTGTGTTGACTCTGCCTTGGGTCTCTTCAATGACAGAGCTTTGTCACCAATCCTTGTCGGAGTGATTTGTAGGGAGGTACAATTTTCTGTGTTCAGACAAAGTTACAAACATACTGATGTTTGTCCCACGTCTTTATTATTTATGATGAGCCCAATGTTAATGAAGTGGAAACTATGTGATGTATGCTTTTCAATTTCCATATGAATTATTTACTTTGATATCTCACGCCGCTCCCGGTATTCCCATAGTTAATAATTCAGCCGTAGTATGATATGAACTATATCAACCCAGCTGTTTGATACGTGTCATACAATTTGAGTTTTTCCATCTTGTCATGAGCGCCATGTGGCGGTTGATTATCTCCTGGGGAATTTATGACGTAATGTGAACAAACAGTGCTTCACACATGTACAGAATAACTCGTATATTGTACAAAAATATAAACAGCAACCCTCACTAATCCGATAGTTCAGAGGACACCTCCGCTTTGACCAGTAACTTAATCTATTCTTTCTACATTTGTTTGATATCATCCAGTGTTAACCAACGACATTTCTAAATGTCACAGTTTAAAATAATTATCATACACAGGGACTAGGCC